CATGTTTACCTTCAAGGCTTTAAGACCCCAGACGCTGTATCTTTTGATAGCCGGCCACATTAGCTTTCTTCACCATATTTGCTTATGCACCCACTTTGTCTTCAGTGATTGTGTCGGGAAGGTGAGCATCATGGAATGCCAGTTTAATAGAACAAAGTATTCTTGCATTGAGGGAATACTTGAGTGAAGGCCCAATGTCCATCTGCCACCTTAATACTAAATCTATAAATATATGCACATAGATCTATTTCCACACCCTCATATATAAATATATTACATACGTACATGCCTTTATTTAGACCACTAGAAATGCCCTTTGCCTCCTAGCTCTTTCCTCTATTTCCTTTGACTTTACTCTTGTTCCACTATCATGTTCAGCCTTCATTAGGATTTCAGTAATTCCTCTTTGTTACATTACCCTTCATCACCCTACTAGGCCTCCTACACCCCCCTCACCACCGATTTGGATAGCTTGTTGTTCCCTTGTCCTTGGGTTTGTTAACACTACTTCCTTTCCCCCCACCTCCCCCTCTCCCACGTCCCCCTAGAACTGTTGGTTCCGTTGTTTTCTCCTCCAGATGATTCATCCAGCCTATCTTATTTAGACAGACCCGCGGAGATAATAACAAGCACAAAAACAAGACAGTAAAACCAAGCAACAAAATAAAACAAAACAACAAGCAAATGACCAAAACAAAACACAACAACAAAGAAAAACTTGTAGTTAGTTCAAAGACTGTTTGTTGGCCTTTAGGAGTGTTTTCCATTCAAGTTTGTTGAGGTGCCAAGCCCTGGCCCCGAAGTTTATTTTTGGTATTCCCCGGGGACTTTGTTGCTCTGTTCTACTTGCTGTTCTGTTGCATGCCCCTAGTGGTTTGCCTCGGTGTGGTGGGATCAGATCGGGCGGAATTCCCACAGTCTCCAGTGTTGTCCCCTGTAGGACTATGGGTCAGTGAGGGATGTCATGTCTCATAGTGGGGCCGGCCATGTGGTCTTCTCTGTGGATTGGCTGCTCTGAGCGGGAATATCATCCTCAAGGCTTGGTGGGCCAGGATGTGCTCCACTTTTTCCTCCTCCCCCTTCATTTGCTCCTGTGTGCTCTGATCAGACATGTCCCTCTCCAGCAGCTGCAGATTCAGTGGTGTCCACTGAAATAAATTCTTCTGGGGGAGGAGCAGTTGTCCACATAGTTGGGATTGAGGCCGGCCCCTCAGACTTCCACTGGTTCCCTACTCCATGCTAGCATGTTGCACTCACTTCTTGGAGCACTGGGTTGAAGTCTGGTCCCTCTTTCCCTGTGGACCTCTCCTATTTTCTATGACTTTACTATGGTCTCTCTATATTATCGCCATACAATTGCACCTATGGACTTTTTGTCACAATTGTCAGAGGCTTGTTACTCTGACAGGCAAAGTTCTTTTTGGAAAGCTATTTGGCAACAGGTATCAAGAACCATAGAAATGTTTACATTTGTAGATCCACTACTCCATTTCTAAGAATCTATCTCAATGAAACAATCCAATTATGAATAGTTTTATATAAAAGTACTCACCACAACATTATTTTTTAGAGTACAAAATTAGGAAGATTCTTAATTAAAGAAAAATAATCAAACTATGACAAACCCATAATACTAATACCACACTGTCATTTTATAATAGTATGAATATGTAAATTTTTCCAATGACATGCAAAAAATGTTTTTAAGTTCAGGGAAAAAAGTCAAATGTAAAATAGCATATGTTGAAAATAAAAAACAGAATTGGCTAGAAATAATAAGGTGATGATAGTCATTGTTGAAGCCCATTAAGATTCAGCCTTGAAATGACTGAGAAGTCTCACGACCCAGGTGTCAGTATCTGCTGTTTGCTTCTGCAGCTTGACACTGACTAAGTAAAAGAACAAGGACGTATGCCAGTTCTGGGAAATCAGGATGGTTAATTTTCTCAAGGATGCTTGGTTTGGAAAAACATAGAGTTGTTGAGGTGCATCCAATGTGCTTGCTTAACAATGAGAAAAATATAACCCTGGGTTGTTTCTGCATGTATAAAAGGAAGATGTGGAAAAAACACGGGGCTTCAGTATTCACTGTTGCCCTCCCAATACTTTCTGTCTCTCTTTTTTTCCTTAATCCTCACTCCCCGTTCGACTCATCGGCAGGCTCCAACAGAGTGGCGCCTCGAACAGGGACCTGAAAACGGGGGACCAAGTGAAGGACACCGCAGATTACAAAGGTGTACACGAAGAGATTGGTGGTAATTGGGAGTAAAATGGGGCAAGGAAATAGCAAACAGATTTTTGTACATATGCTTCAAGATATATTAAAAGCCAGAGGAGCAAAAGTAAGCTACCAAAGATTAGAGAAGTTTTTAGATTTTGTAGTTAAAGTATGTCCTTGGTTCCCTGAGGATGGGACTGTAAATATCGAAACTTGAATGAAAGTAGGGGAACAACTAAAAGATCACTATGCGGGTAATGGACCTAGCAAGGTCCCCATAGATACGTTTTGCCTATGGAATTTAATTAGGGAAAGCTTGAATCCTAGGCAAGAGGGATTTTGGAGTTAATAACTTAACCTGTGTGACGCAGGGAAAACCGGAAG